GATGAAAATTAGCAGAGAGCTGATATCTTCTCTTCCCCAAACAAGCAGCACAGACTAAACCTTGACTTCGCAAAACTGAATACAGAAGAAAAGGAAAAGACGAACTGATAGGCAGAAGAAATTGAAGAACAGCGATGAAACCCTAAAAACCCAATTCGATTTGCTCTGAAAACCGAAATAAACCCATTTATCTTAACAGATTCTCTTTTAATACTCCTGTTTGTTAACCCAAAACTCAAATATCGAGAAGAGTAAAGACTCTACACCATACAGAGGGTCCTAAGCTGTTCCCCACTCTGAAAATGTTTTCAAACAGAAGTATTTTTAAAAGATACTACATCACAAAAAGATTTTCTTACTAGATGGATCTCAGATTTTCTTACCATGTCGAATTTGTATGAGAAATTTTTAAAAATATCACTTTCAAATGTCACTTTACAAAATACCACACTTTTGAAATTTTTACAAAAATGTCACTTTTTCAAAATTATTTTTTTTTTATATTATTATGTTTGGGTTAATTTTATTTTATTAGGGTATAGTTATGAGTGTCTGAGGGGGTTTAAGGGTCAAAACATTTTTTAGTGTTTAGAATTTTAAGATATATGATTTAAAAATCTATAATTAGTGGCATCTTTGCAAATGAACATCCTTAAGTGGTATTTTTGCAAATGAACATCCATAAGTGGTATTTTTGCAATTTTTTCCAATTTGTATTAGAATTTTATAAAAAAAAAAGTTTACTTCGAACTTTATGTGTAAATTAGTATAAAAAGGCTATATGTATAAAAAAAAATTGCTTCGAACTTTGAGTAAAAAATTTTGCTTCGAATTTGTACTAACGTTATTATTTAATTATACTGTAATATTTATTATAGATTTGATGAATTGGACAATAACAAATATATATAATTAAATATAATTGACATTAGATTTTCTCATGACATCTCACTTGTTAATTTAATATTTCTAATTGCGAAAAGTAATTATTTATCTTTTTGTTAAATATGTTTTATTTTTATATATAACTTATTTTACTTATGTTATTAAATTATATTAAACTATTTTAACTTTAAAATCAATATAAGAAATAAAAATAATTTCTATAGAAATATTATTATAAAGAGAAATTTTCAAAAATGCCACCTTTCAAAAAAAAAAAATCATTATATCATTTATGTTTGCGTTAACTATGTTGTATTAGGATTTAGTTTAAGNGGTTTTAAAAGTCAAAATATTTTTTAGCATTTATAATTTTAAGATTTAGGATTTAAAAATCCATAATTAGTGGTAGTTTTGCAAATAGACATTCCTAAGTGGCATTCTAGCAAATATACACATTAAAAGTGATATTTTTGCAATTGCCCCAATTATAAATTATATAAAGAAAAAAAGTAAAATTTGTACTACACATAATCATTTGTACCTAAAAGTCTAAAACTCCTAGTATCCAAACATATATTCCGAAACAATAACAAAAATCAAAAATTAAAAAAAAATCCATTAAAAGGCCAAAAATAAAGACAATATTATCTAAATTTAGTGATAATTCTTTGATACTAACTCCTCTAAACATATAAATTTTAAAACAAATTAAAATATCTTTGGTTTTAGTAACAAATTTACATTTGGCTTTAATCAAATTTCACTATAATTATATCTCACTTTATCATTCTTAATAATTCCGCACGTCGTGTCTAACCAAACCAAGAGAGGAAGTTTGGTGCTTGGCAGCTAAATGACACGTGCCAAACAAGCGCGTGGGCTCCTCTGTTTGGAAAGTACGGCACGTAATTTATGGGAAATCCTCATAAATGATAAATCCACTAATAAATCATTTACATATATAAACCAAAAAATTTT